TGTACAGCTACAGCATATCATTCCCTTAAGCTTTTCTCGGAAGGTTTTGTTAACCAGAGCGTACACAAATATGTTGACGGCGGAACTGAACAGTGCTAGCATACGAACAACAGCGTATACGAGTTCACTGACACTGAGGGATGTGAAGTAGTCTACGTTGTGCGCAATTACGTCAGGCACCCAACAGATTCCAAATATGGCAGTGACAGTTACCCCCATCAAAGTGACTCGCTTCCGCACTCTCAGGACGCCCTGTGAGTAGAGAGAGGCATAAATCCGATTTAGATAGTAACAAATGAGTTGTCAAGAAAGGTCCTGTAAACAGAATATATATCCCTAAACGGCGTCACAACGACAATGTTGTGTGCATACAAAGATACATGCATACATAGAGCCGACAGACAGACGGACAGACAGACAGACAGAAAGACAAGCATGTAAACTTCATTTGCTCCCCAGTTTATACAAAGTAGCATTTCTTCTACCTAATGTTACAAATTCAAATAATAAAAGAAGAATTATAAGAGAGCCGACAAATATATTTGAGTTAATTTGGGAATGGTGTTGAAATCTGTTACAGCTCGATATTGATTTGAAAGTGTGGCCCTGGACTAGGAACCTGGCAACTGAACTAACGGAAATAAAGTATTCAGTAGCTGATATTTTTGGCAAGGTGAAAATATCAGTTTCTCTTAAAGTGCTACCATGATGAAATTCTCGATATCCATTTTTTTACATTTTCGTACACAATAGGTCTTTCCTATTTCAGTCTATTAGGAACATTAGCACACGCGGTTTTTGGATCTTTATTTCCGAGAATTTACGGCCGTTATTGATCTTCCATGTTTCAAGTCTTGGTTGAGAATTTGAGAAAAGGATGTCATTTTCTCAAAAATACTGTACGGGTTGGAATTATAATAAAAATCAATGTCGAGATTTGCCAAAATTTTCTGTGCGAGTTGCTGTACTTATTGTTCGCATAATTTCAACCTGTGTGGTATTTTTGAGAAAATGACGTCAATTTCTCCAATTTTCAACCAAGACTCGGAACAAGGAAAATCAATGGCGGCCGTAAATTCTCGGAAACAAAGGTTCAAATAACATGAGTTCTAATGTTTGCAATAGGTTGGAATTTGCCAAGATATCTAGGAAAGACCTATTGTGTACGAAAATGTAAAAAAAAACTGGGTATCGAGAATTTGATCATATTGGCACTTTAACGGAATATTTGCTGGATCACAGACTTAACAAACCTTTTAAGCATTAACAGTATTTACAAACGTGAAGACATTTTAAAACACAGAAAGAATAATATTTGGCTTGCGAGTGTTTGTATTGGTAACTGCATGATGGAGAGTTATAATAACGCTTAAACAAAACGTTACTAGAATGTTCGGAGCACCAGAATATGATCGAATAAACTTAGCTATATAGAAGTTTCAATCATGAACGTTAATTTGCATACTTCAGTAATTAGCGCGAGGAAAGCGAAACAAAGATGGAAGTACCATGGCCGCAACTACAATGGCTAACCAGAGCAAAAATTCAGCTTTTTGCAGTCATTCTTCATCCATCCGCACACAGGCATTGTCTTTTACGTTTAAGCCCCTGATATTTGGTATGAGGATTATCAATGCGAAGACCCAAGAACCAGGAATGATCACCTAAAATAGGAAAGCGTAAAACAGACGACCATTTAAGCCTATTAACGCATGAAAGTAGCTTTCAGGGATGCGTTTCAACGAATAACATTACGCCTCACACTGTTAATGAGTTAGATCAGTAGGTCTGGTTTGACATTTTAAAAACATTTCATCGCAGATAAAGGATTCTTATAGTCAGCTAGTTATTATTTGTGCCCCTGTTTGTCTGGTGCATCGGCCCAATCCTTACTGAAAAAGTTCGACACTTTTTCTACTTTGTGTGCTTTCTTTGCACCAGAAAACGGGCACGACCTTTCGTGCTTCTTTGGCGACATCAATAATGTAAGATAACAATTTGCCAACGCAACTGAAAAACTCGAACTTCTCGCGGAAAATTCGACACGAAACTTTTGATAATCTCTTCTCAAACTCATTAATATCATGGCCGTGACGGTGTTTGGATATCTGATCTTAATGAGCATAGATTTTTACGATTTGTCCGTCTCCGGACGTCTCCGTTTTCTCCTTATTGTTAGTTTCCATTGAAAAGATATATCAAGCAATCAATAAGTTCTTAAAAAATAGTCCGCTACATGTCGAATATACCCTTTTCATAAATGCCTGCGTATTCCGAGATTGAGTGGCCAATCAGAATTCGTGAAAAAAACTATTCACTGGTTTGGTATATACTAATAGTAATAATCGTTGGATGTTGTCCTTCAGTAGCATTTTGAATGAATTGGTAAAAGTTCAATTGAGGCCTTACACTACTGTTATATGATATTAAAATCTTTTAAGAAATCCAAGCTTTCGCCGATCAACGGCATCATCAGGCATAAGAAAAAAACATTCCGCGTAAGGCTTATATACAGATATAAAGTAAACACGTGTGAAAAGCGAAAGGATGTGGGGGGTAAGAGAACACCTGAACAATGACAACTCCTCTGTGAAGAAACACATTTTAAGGTGCCAAAACAAAGTCCACAAAGGCATCGAAATCAAGACCATTGTATTAGAAAACGACCCCGCAAATTTATGACTGTTCGAAGCGTTTTGCATACGAAACTACAAACCTGCCCTCAACTCCCGAGAGGAATGCAGCGACCTCGCGGACCTTTTATTCTGATAATTATTTTAACATATCCAGAGACTCTTTGTACTTTAACACTCGCTCATTAGATCATATCATTCGTTTTTATTCATATTTGTATCTTATTTATCTCATGCATTTTACCGCCGTTGATCGGCGAATGCTTGGATTTCTTAAAAGATTTTAAGATCATTTTATAGTAGTGTAAGGCCTCAATTGAACTTTTACCAATTCACTAATAGTAATAATTGAACTTTGTAAGTGACTCACCTTCAGTTTACGCTTGGTAAGTTTGCCTACGTTACCAGCAGGATAGATTGCCATAAAATAACGTTCAGCGGCAATTGCAACCAAAGTGACTATTGAGGAGGTTGCAGCAATCCATCCCAAGCCTCCACCCGTCAGTAATTTGCATAAAACTGTACCAAACGTTCCCCCCTGGGTGGGTGGGAGTGTTCTTGAAGAAAGTCTGTGGTGTAACAAAGGTCGCATACAAGGCATCCGCTATAGCCAAGTTCAAAGGTAAATAGTTGAAGGGAGTCCTGTGGAATATCGTAAATTGAGAGATGATGAAGGGTAAGATAAATAATTCTTCTATTTTACTTATTGCAAAGGTAATCCTTCTTAAATTATTTTAACACCATTTGAGGCTTCGGAAACTTCAGGAGGGCCTAGAGAAACGCACTCCCCTCACCTGGACGGTACAAGCGGCTTCACATTAGTTTTCATCCTCCACGAAAACTTCCATGTTACGCGCGTAGTGAAATTAATCAGAATCAGGTTCCATGTCTAAAAATAACTTGAGAGGGATTACCTTGAGAATAAGGCCTTTATCAAGGACTTACTCTCTTACTCTTTATCCTCTCTTGCATAGCTTCAGAAGAATGGCTGAACAAGATAGGAGCATGGTAATATTATCTACATGGGCGAACATTACAAGAGCTGTGGGCATTAGAAATATTGCTTGGAGCTTAAATGCTACAATGGACTTTCGTCTTAACGGAAAACCAATTTTAAACATTCTGGAATTCACTGTTACGTTGTTAATTAAAAAAAAGTTTATAATTTAAAACGGTTAATTTGCCTGAGTTGAAATTATTGTGCTCCGATGTAAATTTGAATACCTGAACTTATAATTGAAGAACTTTCAAAAAAATTAATATCTCTATAGTTCTCTTAAACGTTCTTCCACGTTCACCTCAGGCTATGTAAATCTCAAGCTAACCATTTTCTATTTCATTGTCATATAAAGTTGTTGTGTAAGCCTTCAGTAGCGTTTCAAACTGGCTATGTGATATTCTAGTTATTTTAGCTTCAACATACCTCATGTCTCGATGTTTCTTTATGATCGCACAAACGAGGCAATTTCCAACGATGTCTATCACGACGAGTATAGAGTGTACCGTTGCTATGGCAATGCCCGATGTTTGAAGCATGACTGAACGTTGTTGATGATGTTACACAGTCGCGAAGCCTTCTACGTTTAATAAAGAGAAGAGGAAGAATGAATTTCTGAGAGCTTAGGTAATCACTGGTTTAATGCGAGAGGTAGTAAAAGTGGAGAGGAAACATGAGACACTTATAAGGTTGTATGCCACCTTATGGTTTGATAATTTTCTAACCGCGTAATTTAGAAAAGAGGCTCATCAGTTTTACGAAGTACGCTATATTGTCTTTGTGTCAGTTACAGGGGCCCACGTGTTTCAAAATGCATGCAGGCGTTTCCTGAGGGAGCGCGTATTATCGATATCAGCTTAGCTAGCGATTGAGTGATTTGCCGCCATGTTGCATTGTCTCAGTTTTACTTCCTATCGCGCTTTTCTCTTCGCAAACCCAAAACAAGATGGCGCTCTCCGGATCAAAATGCGTTCCCTAAAGTCTGAACTCGTCTAACAGGCGATTAGTATGTATTAAAAGCCAACCGCTAATGTAACACCAACCACTGATATACTAAAATTTTTAACACTGTTCTTACATTGAGTACGTATTAAAAGCCAACGACAAAATGATAAAGAGAAGCTTGGCAATTA